ACTTCCTGACAGTTAGAACAATTAACCAATGGAACAACCTGCCTCCAGAAGTGGTGAATGCTCCAACACTGGAAGTTTTTAAGAAGAGACTGGACAGCCGTTTGTCTGAAATGGTGTAGGGTTCCTGCCTGGGCAGGGGGTTGGACTCGATGACCTCCAAGGTCCCTTCCAACTTTATTATTATTATTATTATTATTGTTCAATGGTTTCTGTAGATTTGTTTTTTTTTAAATGAAGTTGAATCATTCTCTGGCTTCTATCTTGGCACTAGCCAAGCTATCCATTTTAATAGGAAGGGAGAAAGTGTGTTTCCTGCCTTTGGCAGAACCACATTACTTATTAAAAAAACGAAAAAGAACAAAAGCATTCTAACCACTAACATGGAGGCTTTTCCGAGTATCGCAAAATGGCAGGGACACCACAGTTATCTTAAATATATAAAGTTTTTACGATGAAACATAATTTCAATCCAGTATGTTTTTTTTTTAAAAAAAATGATTGGGCAAAGTGTTGTCTTTTTGTTCAAAAGGTTTATTTCAGGGGTCTTCAAACTTGGCCCTTTTGTGACTTGTGGACTTCAACTCCCAGAATTCCTCGGCCAGGCACACACTGGCTGAGGAATTCTGGGAGTTGAAGTCCACAAGTCACAAAAGGGCCAAGTTTGAAGACTCCTGGTTTGTTTATTCTAACCATGTTTTCTAGGTTCCTGTTGAAGCCACATTGTTCTGTTTTGCATTGGTAATAAAACGTCGAAAAACGGGGAAAAAGCACAACCACTTTATTAAAAATTCATCGGTCTGGGATGCGATTAGCATAATCAAGATGTGAGAGTTTTCTTTTAAACAAATGCAATTAATTTTCACAGAAAACAAGATAATATCTATTGCTCCTCCATATCCTTTGGCATGTTGGTGATATCTAATCCCAAGCAGTTAATGTTCACTAAGTTTAAGACCAGGGCATCTATTTGTACGTTGGCGATGCTCGCGTAAGCCAGCCCCTGCCCGGTGAAGTGAGCCCATGATTGGCACATTAAGAAACGACTGGCTGTACCTGGGTAGACCAAGGATCAATGCAGGCAGCCGCGTCGAGGGCATACAGCAGCAGTCTTCAAACTTGGCAATGTTAAGACTTGTGGACTTCAACTCCCAGAAGCTGGCTGAGGAATTCTGGGAGTTGAAGTCCACAAGTCTTAAAGTTGCCAAGTTTGAAGACCTCTGGCATATAGCACCAGCCTTCCAACCCCAACTGAGTCTTTGTGAGAATCCAAGTGCACAAACCTACAGCCGACAACATCCCAGTGCCAGTTTGGGGGTTATGGCCAGGCAGATCACCTTTGAGTTCAACTTCCCTTCGGCTGCAGGAAGGCAGCTGAACCAGTCCACTGTCAACGTATCTGTCAAAACAGGCATTCAGCTCTCTGGTGGATGGCCTCTCTGTCAATCCCAGTGGAAGCAGATCTACGCCAGGCTCGGATCATTTTGACAAAGGCACTTCCAGGAAGAGACTGCTGGACTGACAAGCATTTTCAGCCCAGTATCCATTTTCCCTGCTGGGGAAAAGAGAGAAGACCCAAATGATCGTTGATTAGCCACGTCAATCTTTGCTTAGGTGTCCCACATTACTGCCTAGATTTCTTTCCCGAGCGAGGGCTTAGAAAGCTGAAGATGCTAGGCAGGATAGCTCCAGCTTTTGAAGACCAGCCTTGATCCACTTACCTTCGTTCTGAAAATGTGGCTTTTCCTCTGAGCCTCAAATGCGCCGTGCTCTCGGCAGCTGAGTTCGCTTCCAGCGGTATCCATGAGGCTGCTGGTGCAAGCCTGGGTATTGTAACCACTGTCCATCTGTCCAAAAGAAATCAGAATGTAGAAGTAATTATTCCAGCACTCAGCAGGGGGCTGGGGTAGATCTTCCGGGTCCTTCCAACCCTACAATTCTCGATATGGGATGAAGTGATAGATCAGCAACCGGGAAATAGAATTCCAAGAAAATTCCCTTTTTAAAGCTCCAGAGGTGCCTAGATACTATAGGTAGTCGTTGACTTAACGACCACAATTGAGCCCAAAATGTTTGCTAAAAGAATTAAATGAGCGTAGTGAGCCCAGTTTTACAACTTTTCTTGCCACAGTTGTTAAGATAACAACTGAGGTTGTTAAGATAATAACGTGGCTGTTAAGTAAATTTGGCTTCCCCACTGAGTTTGTCTGAAGGTTGCAAAAGGTGGTCACATGACCCCGGGACACTGCGACCGTCATAATTGCAAAAGGTGGTCACATGACCCTGGGACACTGCAACCGTCATAACTACCAGCCAGTTGCCAAGTGTGTAAATGTTGATCACATGATCACGGGGATGCGGTCATAAGTGTGAAAAACAGCCAAAAGCCCCTCTTTTAGTACCATTGTGAATTTGAACCGTCACTAAATGAACTGTTGTAAGTCGAGGACTACCTGTACGCACAAGGGGGGTCTCCAGAGTACCCCTAGTGTAGCTCAACAGAGGCTGTGCACCTGGTAGAGACAGTGGAAATTGGGCAATGTCCCCGAAGAGGGGATCTTCCCTCCACCAGGGCATCTGCAACGCTCCCCCCTAAGGTTTTGGCAGCGAGATTGTAAAGGGTGCCTTATAGAAATCTTCCTCTCATGGGGAAGAGAGGGGCGCGATCTAAATTTGATAAATAAAACAAACGAAGGTGCTATAATTGCTATATTCAGTATCTGCCGGTTTTGCATAGGAAAATTTCCCTTTCTATTTTGTCTAGAGCTTAGCTCCATGGAGGTTGCACGCAGAGTTCTCTCGGTGGGCACACGCGCCATCGCCCCAGTCCTAGGCCTTCAGCTGGGTTTTATAAAACTTTTTTGCTTTAGGCCTCCGCCGCCGTGTGCAAAAAAAAAAAAAAAAGTTCAATCAATCAATTTAAACTTGCGGGGAAAAAAAAAGATCTCGCAAAGTTGGAATTGATAGATTGAACTTTTTAGTCCCACCCAGTCTGCCGTTACCACTGCAGCCACGCCCACCCGAT